GCTGGCAATGCACAGAAGTTCCAGTGTTCCCCATCCTTGCCAACACATTGTTTTCTGGGTGGTTTTTTGTTCTTTGTAATAACCATCTTATTCGGTGTGAGGCGTTATCTCATGGTGGTTTTGATTTCATTTCTCTAACGATTAGTGATGCTGAGCATCTTTTCATGTGCTTATTGTCCTTTTCTATATTTTCTTGGAAGACATTTCTAATCAGTTCCTCTGGCCATTTTTTCATCCTATTGTTTTATTGTTGTTGTTGAGTAATAGTCACATATATATTCTGGATATTAATCCCTTATCAGATATATGATTTTCACATTTTCATCCATTCTCTGTGTGTCTTTTTTCTTTTTAACATTGTCATTTCATAAACACAATTTTTAAAATTTTGATAAAGTCCAATTTATCTACTTACTAGAGGCCTAGTGCATGAAATTTTGTGCACCAGTAGGGTCCCTTGCAGCTGTTGGCTGCCAGCCGGGACCTCCCTGGTGGTTAGTGCAGTCTAACGCCCAGTTGGTCCAACTCTCACCCTTAAGGACAATTTGCATATTAGCCTTTTATTATGTAGGATTCTTTGTTGCTTGTGCTCTTAGTTTCATATCCAGAAATTCCTTGCCAAATCCAATATCATAAAGATTTCATCCTATGTTCTCTTTTAAGAGTTTTTTTAAGTTTAGCTCTCACACTTAGATTTTTGGTCCATTGTGAGTTAATTTTTTGTATATGGTGTTAAGTAGTTCCAATTCATTCTTTTGATGTAAATACCATTTTTCAAGTGCCATTTCTTGAAAAGACTGTGCTTTCCTTCTTGTATGGTCTTGGCACTTTTTAAAAATTGATTCTAGAGAATGAAAGAGAGAGTGACTCTTGATGTAAGAGTGAAACATCAACTGGCTGCCTCCCGGACATGCCTTGCCTAAGGATCAAACCAAGAACCTGGGTTGTTTCCTGACCAGGAATAGAACTCATCATCTTTTAGTGTACGGGATGATGCTCCACACAACTGAGCTATACCTGGCAGGGAAGGTCTTGGTACTCTTGTCAAAATCATTTGACCATATATATGAGGGTTTATTTCTGGGCTTTCTAATCCATTTCTATATGTCACAGCCTTACAGTAAATTTTGAAATAAGGAAATACGAATCCTCCAATTTTGTTCTTTTTCCAGTTTGTTTTGGTTATTGGGGGTCTCTTGACATTCCATATGAATTTCAGGATGGATTTTTCTATTTTTGTTCCAAAAATGTCATTGGGATATTGATAGGGATTGCATTGAATCTGTAGATCACTTTGGGCAGTATTGTCATCTTACCAATATGAGGTCTTCCAATCCATGAACACAGAATGTCTTCCCATATTTTTCCAGCAATTTTTTTTGTAGTTGTTTAGTATATAAGTCTTTAACTTCCCTGGTTAAGTTAATTCCTAAGAATTTTATTCTTTTTGATGCTATTGTAAATGGCATTTTCTTAATTTCCTTTCTGAATTGTTCATTGTTCATACATAGAAACACAACTTATTTTTACCTGTTGATTTAGTATCCTGCAGCTTTGCCAAACTTGTTTATTAGTTCTAACAATTTTTGTGGGACTTTAGGGTTTTCTACATATAAGGTCATATCATATGCAAACAGACATAATTTTACATCTCCTCCTCCAATTTGGATGCCTTTTCTTTCTCATTCTTGTCTAATTGCTGGCTAGGACTTCCAATACTGTTTTGAGTAGAAATGGCAAACGAAGGCAGATCTTTGTCTCTGCCTGATCTTAGGAAAAAACTTTTAGTCTTTCACTATTGAGAATCATGTTAGGTGTGGGTTTGTCATAAACGGCCTTTATAATGTTGACATAGTTTCCTTCTATTCCTAGTTTGAGCATTTTTATCATGAAAGGATACTGAATTTTGTCAAATGCTTACACTGATTCAATCTCCTTACTATTTATAGGTCTCTTCACATTTTCTATTTCTTTGTTGTGCTGTGCCAGCACAGCCAAGGGTTGGGTAAGCCTGAGCGGGAGTGGTGAAGGATTAAAGCAAAGAGTGACAAAGAGAATATAGCTGGGGCTCGGTGGATCTCCTGTGCCTGGATGAGGCCACAGGGAAGGATCCAGCCAGCAAGCTGAGGCTTTATTTTATAGTCAGAGAAAAATAAGGAAGTGGTCAACATAGTTACAATGTTCTTGTGAGTTTCACTTGTTTTGGCAGCACTTGCTGGATCTCCCGAAGCCCATTAGCTACCTAGGAATTATCTAGGGGGCGGCCAAGAGATCAAGCTTAATTATGCTAAGAGGGCTCTGCCACAGGTCAATCCGAGGCTTAATTCTAGAGCTGCTCCCTACACTTTGTGATTCCATCTTGGTAAGGTTTTGCGTTTGTCCATTTCATCTAAGTCATCCAATTTGCTGGCATACAATTACTCATAGTACTATTATAATTCTTATTATTTCCATAGAATTGGTAATAATGTACCCACTTTCATTTATGATTTTAGTAATTTGAGTCTTCTCACTTTTTTTCTTAGTCAAACTAGGTTAAGTTTTGTCAATTTTTTTCATCTCTTTTGAGGAACCAACTTTTTGTTTCATTGATTATCTCTCTTGTTTTACTATTCTGTAATTTATCTATCTCCATTCTACTCTTTATTAGAATTTAGTTTGTTCTCTTTCTCTAGTTCCTCATGTTGTAGAGTTAGATTGCTTATTTGAGATCTTTCTTCCTATTTAAAGTAAGCATGTACAATTGCAAATTCCTTGCACAAGATTCTCAACTTCTCTGAGCCTCATATTCCACAACAGAAAATTACAATGAGAGTACCTGCTTCGTGGTATTGTTTTAAGTATTTAATGTGCTATTGAATCAAACCCTTAGCAAATGTCACACACAACAGAAATGTTCCACGGTATTAACTGCTATTATTACTTCTATTATCACTAGCTTCTATGAAGTCAGTGGTCCTAAAGTCCAGGATCCACCCCTTACTAATCATATGACTTTGGGTAAATTTTTCACCACTCTAAGCCTCAATTTTTTCATCAGTAAAATGGAAATAATGTCTATCTGACAAGGTTATTATATGAATCAGATGAGATATAACAAAAGTATTTAGCACAGAGTCTGGCTCATAGTAAGTGCCCCATAACAGCAGCTAAAATTAATATTAATTCTTAATCTTGAGTTCACTAGTGAGGGCAACAGAAATGGGGGGGGGGAAAGACACAGATGCAAAATGATTTAATTTAGGGTTAGGAGGGCATTACACACACACACACACACACACACACACACACACACACAAATCATTATAGGAAAAGAAAAGAGGAGTTGAGTGCAAAGTCTCAAGCCTGATTTGTTAGTTTTCATCCCCTGAGAGGCAGCCATGATGGGATCAGACATACAAATATTTATTTGGAAAAAAAATCCCTGTGAAGAAAAGAACCTGGGATGGAAGTGGGAGGAGCCTGGAAGTTTCCTCTGGCAAGGATGCAGATCTGGTTATTGTGTAGGAGAAAGAAAAGAAAGATTTAGGTTGAAGTGCCATCTTTTCTGTTGTTCTTTTTTTGTTTGTTTGTTTGTTTACCCATCTTTGTGAATTAACTTTGGAAGACAGCAAGCCATCTGAATGAAAAGTTTTGAAATTATGAAAGATGATTATATAAGAATACTTAGAGAACATTTAAAGGATATATCATTACTGTTTAGTATTCACTTGGCAAACTGAAAAAGAAAAGTGCTGACATTATGCCCCTTTTAGACAATTATTTTCAAGCTTTCGTTTGTATAGGAAATCTTTAGGGTGCTTGTTAAAATTTCCAGATTCCTAGACTCTACCCATAAAAGTTCTGATTCAGAATGTCTGAATGTCTGAAGTGAGACCCAGAAGTTTGCGTTTTTAGAAAACATCCCAAAGAATTCTGTTGTACGTGGTCTTTGAAATACTACATTTCGACATACTGGTTTAAAGGTCTCAAGTAACTCTAGACAACATCTGTAGACAAAAAATAGTCCTAGGGTAGGGAGTGTTTTCTTCCTAGAATCACTGTGAATCTCATGCAAAAGTCAAAGGAACACAAACTCTTCAGACACCATGACTATGGGAGCTAAACATCCCTCTGATCTAAAGAACACTCCTAATTGCCCATAAAGATCAAGGATGAATATCTGTAATGACCAACCCATTATTTTTACCAGAGGAAACTAGGAGACTGCCCTTTAACTCTGCTACCAGGGCTTTTGGAAGCTCCAAACGGCTTCCTAAAACGTGATCTTTCTCCATGAGCCATGGGCCTATGAGATGAGAACCTATCACTTCCCAATGCACCATCTCTCTGCTATGTTCCCTCGAGCATCCCTGCTCTCCCGGATGGAATGCTGTGGAACAAAACTAAAGTGTTAGTGGTGACTACTTGGGATGGAATCATTTACTTCTCAAGGAATTACACTTACCCCTCTCAGGGTGTTTGGAGAGCATATGTCTGTTTCAGGTTAGAAAAGGGAGCTGGGGGTTCACAGACTGTCTAAACAGCCACATTTCCGCAACCTATGGTCAGTGTGCCTTCTGGGTTTGCCACCACCATCCTTAAATGGAAACTCTTTTTTCACGGTACAGGAGCTAGCAGAACTTTTTGCTCTAACTTGAATAGGAAAAACTTCTCCTGCACAAGACACCTTTAGGTTTATTTAGGGAGTTAGGCCTCAGGAAGAGACCTGTTTTAATTGTTTTTTTTTTATTCAACCCTGGAAGTAGTGAAGGGAAGCAGGGTGAACAATACCTTTAGATCCCAGTAGCTCTCATTTTAAAGCATGTTGGAAACACTCCAATGCCATGTTTTTTTAATGTTGTGTGGGGGTGTGTCTGTGTGTGAGAGAGGAAGGGAGAGGGCGAGCGAGAGAAACATTGATACCTCCTAGTTGTAGGACTTCCACTCAGCCAGCGTTCCTGTGGTTCTGGATGATGTCCCTTCCGTCTTTTAGTTTCACTTTTGAAATGGTTGTTCGAGGCAGCAAACTCCGGCGTTAACCTATGCCGCCATCTTGGTTCTCCTCATTTACTTCTCAAGGAATTACACTTACCCCTCTCAGGGTGTTTGGAGAGCATATGTCTGTTTCAGGTTAGAAAAGGGAGCTGGGGGTTCACAGACTGTCTAAACAGCCACATTTCCGCAACCTATGGTCAGTGTGCCTTCTGGGTTTGCCACCACCATCCTTAAATGGAAACTCTTTTTTCACGGTACAGGAGCTAGCAGAACTTTTTGCTCTAACTTGAATAGGAAAAACTTCTCCTGCACAAGACACCTTTAGGTTTATTTAGGGAGTTAGGCCTCAGGAAGAGACCTGTTTTAATTGTTTTTTTTTTATTCAACCCTGGAAGTAGTGAAGGGAAGCAGGGTGAACAATACCTTTAGATCCCAGTAGCTCTCATTTTAAAGCATGTTGGAAACACTCCAATGCCATGTTTTTTTAATGTTGTGTGGGGGTGTGTCTGTGTGTGAGAGAGGAAGGGAGAGGGAGAGAGAGAGAATTATTGATCAGCTGCCTCCTGCACACCCCCCACTGGAGATCCAGTCAGCAACAGTGGCATGTGCCCTGTCTGGGAATTGAACCAGTGACCTTTTGGTGCAGGGAACGATGCTCCAACCACTGAGCCACACCTGCCAGGGCTACAGTGCCTTCTAAGAGAGTATCTGCAAGGCTGATGGGGAGTCCTTGAGCTAAAGTTACCCACAAGCTGAAAACCATTGCTCACAGCATTGGGCTTATTTCAGATCCCTGCTGGGAGCCTGTGGGACCTCTGTGCAAAGTAGGTGGTGCACTCACCACCTTCCATCAGTTAAGTCCGCACCAAGGAGACCTGACTAACACATATTCATGGCCGCCACACCTGGTACAGAAAAAACACAACCATGAAAGGTGGGAAGTTATGACTTACAAAAATGGCCATCAGCTTTCTCACATTTCCAGAGCTCCAACCATATCTCAGTACAAAAAGTCCAGGTTGGAATTGTGTCAAGCCTGGGCACCAACATAGAAATACAATGAGAGAAAAAAATTACAAGGATGTAGTGAGCTATTTACCTCATAGCAACCCTCCCAGGGGAAATTTCTTCCTTCGAGGAACAAATAGAGACTACTTCATGTTGGGAGTTGTTTCCCAGGGCAGCCCCACTGTAAAATAATGTCACCTCACTCATTCTTCTCTTTTCTATCCATGACAGATGATCCAACACTACCAAGTCCTGGCCTCTCAGTTGGGGCTATGGCCGGCATCGTGGTTGGCGTCCTGGCTGGTGTAGCTCTGATAGCAGCCCTGGTGTACTTCCTGTATATCAGAAAGACTGGAGGGTATGATGGCCTTCCCTCTTGCTCCGCTTCCTCCATAGCTGATGACCATCCTGGGAGAGGGAAGGAGAGTTCCCCTCTGTCGCTGGGCGTGGATCTGCTCCTCCTCCTCCTTCTTAAATCCCTGCTTCTCAGCACTGATTTCTGAGGCCTCTTCTTCTCTGATCTTCAGGCTTCCTGTCCCCCTCTCTCTTTGGGACATGGTTATTCCCATCCCCCTCTGGTTTAGAGGGGGCAGACCTGACTATGTTCCTGGGTCCTATAGTCAGGGAAAGCAAGGTCCAAGAAGGAAGACAAATCAGTAAATGAAAAGAGTAGCAGGAGAAAGCGAGTTGTGTGCTCTGCCAACCACAGGAAGAGGAGAAGAGAGGGGCAGGTCAGGAAGAGAACCTTAAAAATACGTGAAACCAGCCTGGCCTGAGCAGCTCAGTGGTCGAACATTAACCCATGAACCAGGAGGTCACAGTTCGATTCCCAGTCAGGGCACATGCAAGGGTTGTGGGCTCAATTGCCAGAACAGGGCTTGCAGGAGGCAGCTGATGGATGATTCTCTCATCATTGATGTTTTTATCTGTCCTTCTCCTTTCCTCTCTCTAAAATCAACAGATTTATATATTTTTTAAAGCTGAAACTAAAGGCCTTTTGGGTAATAAATGAAGAATGAAAACAGAATCAACAAAGCCAAAGGTGTCCAGGTAGAAATAGGCTCAGAAGCAAGTGATAAAGACTACTCTTTATCAGTTTGTGCTCTGGCCAGGTGTACATTCTCAGTCAGGACACAAACCTAAGTTGAGGGTTCTATCCCCTGATGGGCATCTCTCTCTCTATCTCTCTCTCTCTCTCTCTCTCTCTCTCTCCCACTCCCTCTCCTCTCTCCTCCCTTCAGCTTTCTGAAGTTAATAAATACCAGATGAAGATTTTTTTAGAAGGGATGGGCCTGTGTGAACATTAGTGCAGCAGGAAAGGAGTGCACTATAGAAGGGATGGTGGGTACACTGAGGAGGAGCCCTAGGAGGAAAGGCAATACTGACTCTGGCATAAATGAGCGGACAGTGTCCTTCCTACTTCAAGGAGCAAAGAGCCTGTGCTTGGGAATAGCAGTCACAGTCTCTGATATTTGTTTAGGGCAAGCGACCAGCGCGATCTCACAGAGCACAAACCTTCAGCCTCCAACCACAGTAAGTAAAACCATCACCAGTGAGAGCTGGTGTGTTCCACCACGTGCCCTGCCTCTCCTCCTCCTCTATTAGGGATGTGGGCACTCTCCTTTGGTGAGACTTTCCCTGTCTTGTGGTGCTCTGGGTGCGGTCGGTCTCTATGCCCCTCCTTGCACTGGTGCCTGTTGCTGAGAAACTCAACTGGGCAAAAACAATGCCTTGTGAGCTGGGGGGGAAAAATTCAGAAGTGGACTGAGGCCTCCCTGCCCCACTAACCCCTCAACCCTACCCCCTCCTGCTGGTACTAACACCCTGGGTCTGGACCACAGACTCTGAGAAGAAGTGATTTCCTTAAGTAATCATGGGCCACATCCCAACCTCCTCCCACCACCTGCCACCTCCTTCAGCTAGAAATCACAACAGCTTAGGAACACCGAGGCTGTAAGACCATAAATCAGCTTTGCATTTTCATGGATTGCTAACTCTTCTTTCAACTCCCAGGTCAGGGCCACTCTGACGACTCACCTAACAAGGTAAGCACAGCCAGTTTCACTGGCTCATTTTCTCATGCATATACCTCTATAGAGAATGGAGGACACTGGAGGACACAGTGCGATCACATTTGAGTCAAGGTTCCTCAATGCAGCAACAAACCAAGGTGTATTGGTTAACTACTCCCATGAGCCTACCTCATGCAAGAATGTTACCCCTGTCCTGAGTTTGAACCCTGGCTGTGACTCTTAGTTCCTCTGTGACCTTGGGCACGTAACTTAATCTCTCTGATCCTCACCCTGTCATCTGTAAACATGAAATGCTGCCTACTTCAGAGAGAAGCTGAAGGATTGAAATGAGATAACACATGCAAAGCACCAGCACGGTGCCCAACATCAGGAAGGCACTGGGTCATTCTCCCTCCTCTACTTCAGTCTGATCCTGTTCTTCCTGTTAAAGGATAATGTCCATTCCAGTGGGTCTGAGGTCTTAGTTCCTTCACTTTATAACGTTACTGCGCTTCTCTCATTTAGCCTTTCAACAGAGCACACATATGTGTTGAAAAGTGCTTAAAGCATCTGTATATGTTAACAATGTATAAATTACCATGCGTTGAGCGTACCCTTGTAAGGTAAGTAACACTGAAATGAAGATAGAAAACATGTCATCTCCCTGCAAAATGAAACCCTCAGGCACTTTCCTCCAAAGAGTAACCGTATCCTGACTTCCAATGCACTAGATTATTTTGGCCTGTTTATGTGCTTACATTAAGAAGCACAGTATATCCTTATTTGTGTCTTGTTTCTTTCGTTCAAAATGGTTTTCATGAGGCTTATCCATATTGTTGTATATGTTTGTAGTTGTTCATTCTCATTGCTGTATCCCCCTCTTCCATGGTATGAATAACATAATCTGTCTTCTAATGATCATTCAAATGATGTCAACAAGCATAGAAAATGGGAAATAAAAATCCTCCAAAACTAGAGGTTTCAAGTGGTGAGAGCAGGTGGTGACAAATGACAGGAGGCCAGGTGAGGGCCCGACCTGTGACACTGACTTAATTGACCACTTCTTATCCCTTTCAGATCCATGAAGTTACATATTCTTTGCTGACCTTCAGTGGCCAAGAATCAAAGATACCAACGTCAGCCTCCCCATCCCCACCAGCCACAGAACCAGTTTATGCGGAAATAAAAAAGTAATGCAACCAGCCCAGCTCACCACACTGCTGCCTGATTCCAAGTCTCATCCCATCACTAGGAGACCCCGTTGCCCTCAGGGAAAAGGAGAGGATGCGACCACACCCTGGAAGAGCACACCTGGAAAGCCACCTCCAGCCCGCCCCTTCCCCCCGCCTCACTCTGTCATGAGGCAGCTCCAGGCTCCTGGTCACAGCCCCTCCTTTTGGTGTCAACAGGTGAAAAGATTCTGTAGGAAGCCCAACCTTCCTTTGCATTGAAATTTGGCTCATTAAATTAGTACTAGAATCAACAAAGTCTAGAGATGATTCCTTAAAAAGTAAACTTCTGGCCCTGACCGGTTTGGCTCAGTGGATAGAGTGTCAGCCTGCAGACTGACTGGTCCCAGGTTTGATTCCGGTCAAGGGCATGTGCCTTGGTTGCGGGCACATCCCCAGTGGGAGGTGTGCAGGAGGCAGCTGATCGGTGTTGCTCTCTCATCGATGTTTCCAACTCTCTATCCCTCTCCCTTCCTCTCTGTGAAAAATCAATAAAATATATTTTAAAAAATAAGAGCAAACTTCTGGATGAATGATTAAGAAAAAATGAGGGTGGGCACAATAAGCAATATTAGGAGTAAAAAAAAAACAATGACAGCAGGCAATAGGAGGACATCAGGAGTGTCTTTATTGCAAATATTTGAAAAATTAGATTAAAAGGAATAAATGCTTAGAAAAATAAAATGAAACCAGAACTAAGTCAAAAAGGAAGAGAATTATGAGTAGCCTTATTAACCAATAGACAAATTGAGTTTATATTTTTAATCCTTCCAATAAAGGATACATATAACCTAGATTATTTGACAGGAAATTTTCCAAACATTCAAGCAACAATTAATTCTTTTTTTTTTATCCATTTCAGAGAGAGAGAGAGAGATAGAAACATCAATGATGAAAGAGAATCATTGATTGGCTGACTCCTACACACCCCACACTGGGGATCAAGCCCACAACCTGGGTAACATGCCCTGACCAGGAATCAAACCGTGACCTCCTGGTTCATGGGTCGAAGCTCAACCACTGAGCCACGCCAGCCAGGCAAGGATCAATTAATCATAATATTACAGGTGCTCTTACAGAAAACAAGAGAGAGAACACTTCCCCAGCTCTGATTGTGTGGCTGGTATAATGTTGACCACCAAATCAGAAGAAACTTGCTAGACATGAGCAGAGCAGGGACATGAGCCAGGTACAGAGACTCACCAGGGCAGAAAGCTCCAGATGACTCAAGGAACACAGTTGAGAAAACAAGAACCTAAGCTCACCCCCCAGCCCCCATCTTTCATATTGCTTATCAGGCAGTTGAGGCCCGCTGACATTTTCCTCCCTAAAGACAACATCTAGGCTTCAGTTGTATTTCAGCTCCAGGCCCAGAAAAGCAGAAAAACCAGACAAATGACACAGGGCTGCCTCAGGACCTATTGCATTGACTAATAACTTCCTGCCCTGGCATCAACCAATCAGTGGCAACCACGATCCTGAAAGAGTACACCTGGGATGCTGATGAATATTCTATTAAGACCCTCCCCTGAGACCTCCCCTAAGATTTCCACCTGAAAGAAAGAGAGACATGTGCTCAGGATAAAGGACCCAGTGTGCACTCTCCCTCCAAGGAGCATGCCCTTCCCATTCCCCCACAAGCATGTATCCCCCAACCTCTAAGGGACCCCATGAGACTTGCAACCAGAGGAGCAATGGGCAGCAGCAGCTTGTCCCCGGCAAACCCCCTGCACTTGTCTCCAAGGACCCTTTTCTCTGACTTCTCAGAGTCAAAGCCGCCCAGCCTAGGCTTCTCTGTTGCTTCTTCTATGCCAGCGGTTCTCAAACCTGTGGGTCGTGACCGCTTTGGCGGTCGAACAACCCTTTCACAGGGGTCACCTAAGACCATCCTGCATATCAGATATTTACATTACGATTCATAACAGTAGCAACATTAACGTGATGAAGTAGCAATGAAAATAATTTTATGGTTGGGTCACAACATGAGGAACTGTATTTAAAGGGCCAGAAGGCTGAGAACCACTGTCATCTATGCCCTTCCTTGTTTCACGGTCCTAAGTACATTTTTGCTGCCATAAAGGGGTACAATATCTTTTACTCAGTACTGCGTAGCCCTTCCCATGCATATCCTCATGTCCCATCCCCTTTTCCTTAAATAAATTCCATTTTCTTTAATCACCATCTGAGATGGAAGGAAAATAACAGGCTAATATTAGCAAGTATGAACATCCTTCATGAACAGTAACACATTCAGCAATGAATAAAAACGATAATGTGCAGGAAATGTGGGTTTGTTTCAGAAACACCATTTCACAATATAAAAGTCACTGTAATTCACAGCATTAAAGGTTTAAAGAAGAAAAACCATGTAAATTTTTCAAAAGACACTTTCAAGAAAAACTTCACCTAAAATTCAGCCTCTATTTATGTTAAGAACTTAATAAACCAGAAATAAAAGGAACTTCCTTAATCTGAAAATGAGTGTTTAAAAATTTGATAGTAAAGTGTGGACTGAAAGGGGCCACACACTAAACATAACAAGCTCAGGGGAGGCCTGGGTGGTGGCCTTGCAAACTCAGAGACCTAAAGTGACCACAAAGGATGGTGTGACATTAAACCTTTTAACTAAAAGCAGTTTATGGCAACTAGTAATGTCCTAGGCTAGACTCTTACCTAGCAAGTCAATTTTGACTTTAACTGACCCTGAAAAAGAAGGAAAAATCAGTGGCTGGTTTTTTTTAATCCAGGCATTTCAATTGGAATTGTTTTCTGAGAGTCTGAGCAGTACACGTTCACTGTATAAATGAGAGCTGAAGTCGTTCAACTCTGAAGATAAGGGGCATGTCCTCCTTCCAGTCCGGTGTTCTTAATAACTAAGGATTTTTGTGGAGGTGTCAGAGGTCATCCCTCATGACATGCAGGAGCCCACAGTGATATTCCAACTCAACTGTAATTAAACTGACCAGCTCATGAGAAGGAGCACCCATGAGGTCACCTGGTGCCCCAAGCCCCTCTAGTTGTCTTAGACAGCTGGGAGAGAAATCAAGTCACATAAGAGGGTTGAATAAGACTCAAGGGGTAAGAGCTTCCTGGAGCTCAACCCATAAGCAGTAAGTACACTTTTTTTTAATATATATTTTATTTCTTTTTTACAGAGAGGAAGGGAGAGAGATAGAGAGCCAGAAACATCGATGAGAGAGAAACATCGATCACCTGCCTCCTGCACATCTCCTACTGGGGATATGCCCACAACCAAGGTACATGCCCTTGACCGGAATCGAACCTGGGACCTTTCAGTCCGCAGGCCGACGCTCTATCCACTGAGCCAAACTGGTTTCGGCAAGCAATAAGTACACTTTGACCCACTATATAACATCCCTAGAAAATTTGCTCAAACTCTACAGATATCCAAAACCCACTAAAATTAACATAGGAAGTAGTGCTTCCAAGGCCGGGAACTCCCAGACCCCAAACCTCATTCGTACTCCTGATAGGGAGCCTTTACTCTTTTTTTTAATGACCATTTTACTTTATTTTTTTAAAATATTTTTATTGATTTCAGAGAGGAAGGGAGAAGGAGAGATGGAAACATAAATGATGAGAGAGAATCATTGATCGGCTGCCTCTTGCACACCTCACACTGGGGGTCCAGCCTGCAACCTGGGCATGTGCCCTGACAAGGAATCAAACTGTGACCTCTTGGTTCATAGGTTGATGATGCTCAACCACAGAGCCACGCTGGCTTGGCAGAAGCCTTTACTTGCAAGTAACTTATAGAAATGAGAAGATTGAACTAGAAATTATATTAATTTAAAATGGTCAAAATGCACCTGACTGGTGTGAATCAGTGCTTGAGTATTGACCTATAAACCAGGACGTCATAGTTCAATTCTCAGTCAGGGCAAAAGCCTGGGTTGCGGGCTCAGTCCCCAGTGAGAGGCATGCAGGAGGCAGCCAATCAATAATTCTCTCTCATCATTAATGTTTCTATCTCTCCCTCTCCCTTTCTGAAATCAACAAAATTATATTTAAAATATAAAATAAAATGGTCAAAATGCAGTTGTCTTTGGGTGCCTAAGTTAATTTTTTCATGCAAAAATTAGAAAAAAATGAGGGTTTTAAAATTAAACTAAATGAATGAATGGGAAATGTGTCTTGATTTGGAAATTAGAAGTTCTCAAGAAAAGCACAAATAAATTTTAAAAAATAATAATAAATTCTAGATATTGTCTCTGAACTCTTCTGAAGCTCATAAATGCGTACATTTCATTCTTCCTGCTTCTATACCTCCTCCACTATATCCTTTGCTCTCAGAGCTTCCTTGTTCAGCCTTGTCCTTCCCCTCCCTTCTTCCTTCCCCTTCCGTCTCCTCCACTATCACTCTCTACTGACATAAAGGAATTCTAACAGCTCCCTTTGGAGAAAAGTTGACCTCAGATGCAACAGGATAAGAATGGGGTTGTTAGAAATACTAGGAGAGAAGGGGTCTCTTCTGACTCACCGGTCCCCGACCCAGTTGCCCAGGAATGGTAATGTGGGCGGGTGACTTCATATCCAGAGGGCAGATTTACCTTTTGTCTCAGCATCGCGGCCTTTTGGGAAAGGACTTAGTCCGCAGCTGGGCAGGCAGCTTTCCCCCACACCCACAAAGAGCAAGAGCAAGTAATGAAGGCAACTCTGGGCCCACCAGGGAGAAATCAGGTGGAGAAAGGGCACTGGAGCCTGACTGGTGTTTTTATAAACTTAAACTTTCACAACCTTTTATAAACCTTTCTCCAATTTGTACAAACCTCTTTTTATCTATTTAGAAATAACCATCATTAGAATCACTCAGTTTCGATCCTTGTCCTGCAAAAATGTGTTTTTATTATACTTTATGCCTTCTATTCTTATAACTATACAATGTCTTTTTCCACTTAATTTGAATTTTTAATTCTTCAAAATCTCAATTTCCAATGATAACAAGAGTAAATAACTGTTAGGTGGCTCAGGAGGTGGCGCAGAAAATAAGGAGAACCAAGCCAGTCAGAGAATAGGAAAGGAAAGTTTTATTCTGTGTCCCCAGGCGAAACCCTCCAGCCCAAAGGTGGGGCCAGTGAATTCGCGCCAACAGGGAGGGGGGCGCTCTATTTTATACTGCGGTTGGGTGAGGGGCGGGGACATGAACTGAGGAAGTTCCCACTGCAGCAGGTCAACAGGGTATTCAGGAAGGAGTCAGTATCTGTGTCTGGCACACTGATCTGTTAGAAATTCCAGGGAGGGTCCATTATCTCGTCACGCATCTGCATGTATCTGATCCTGGGCTCTCTCAGACCTAACAATAGCCAGTATTCCTTCGATTGA